ATTAGCTCCGAGGCGTTGATTTTTTCATCATGTACTAATATTCTCTTTGAAAACGTTACTCTTTTGAAACACCGTAGGTCTGTCCTATATTTGAACAGAATGACAATATTATATATCAGCTACCATTTGATTCATATGGGACTATTTAGATTTTTGATTCCTTGTTGGATAAGAGTTTTATATCCTTTTTATCAAAAGGGTCTTAAATCAGAACAAAATGTTATTACTTGCATGTTTTCGCTAGGCTTCAAGTTAGATTGTTGAAATAAATGTTTTTGTGATTTTCGTTGTCCGCAGGATGCTTCATAGTTGATCTTCTTGTTTTCTTTATTGTACCATATTTTTTTTCTCTAATTCTTGGTATTTGTCCTCATTATATTCATGTTATTATCTATATAGCACCAACATCTCCAAACAGAAGTCGTATCCTTTTTGGACATGTTCCAGACATGAACACAACTTGGGGTATAAACGAGTGGAACACAAGCGAGTTTGCACTCAACTTGTGTTCGGCTCGTTTATATTTCGAACACAAAATTTATTTGTATACGACACATTTGCTTAGTGAGCCGAACACGAGTTGTTTGCAAACAAAGAACCTTTTTGACAACCCTGGTCACGTAACCGTTAAGGGTGTAAACAAGTTGAGTTTGAGCGAGCCCAGGCTCGGCTCATGTTCGACTCATTAAAAAATATCATTGTTTGTGTTTGACTCATTCATATATTAAGCTCAAAAAACTTAATCATGTTTGGCTGGTTTGCTTATCGAACTGAACGCGAGTTGTTCTTGAACAATGAGTTATTTTTAAGACCTTAGTCACATACCCGTAAGATGTTAAAGGTAAGGCGAGATTTAAATCTTTTTATTTGTATTAAAACATTCATTTAAATAGAATTTAATATATTTTAATTCTATTGTTAATTAATTATTTTAATTGATTATAATTCTTGGTAGGTTTGTAGTCAATTAAATTATTTTAAAATAATACCCATTATATATATATATATATATAGAGCCATTGCGTTTGCGTGAATTGTACTTGTATAGTATGGGTAGAGTGCCTCTTTGGACTCTTCTCATACAACCTTTATGTATCATTTTCTATTTCAATAAAATCAGCCCTTGGGCTTTTCATTAAAAAAAAAAACATATATTGAGCCAAAACGAGCCGAACACAAATGAACATATCTTTGTCTTGTTCGACTTGTTTATATATTGAGCGCAAAAAAATGTTCGTATTCGGCTCATTTGCTTAGCGAAAGCATCACACACGAGCCGTTTACGAACAACGAGCCGTTTTGACAGCTTTAAACATTGCTCTGACACCGGACGATACATGTCCGACACTCTACTAAACGTGTTTGAGCTGTCCAAGTAATTCAACGCTTCCCGGACACCTCTTAGCATCACTTAGACACCGCTGAGCACGTCTCGACACCAGACACGGGAACTTAAAATTGAGCAGGGCCTCGAAGCAGAATTGGAAGCAACAACACAAAATCAAAGCTGCGATGTTCTGTAGGTCTTATCATCTTACCATCACCTCACAATCATTCTTAGCATTCTCTATCGGAGCAAGTGAAATTTTATTAGTTTTTTTAATTTTTATAGCACTTTTGGTACTCTATGCTAAGTGAGTGGTGTATCTGAACTTTTGTTATGTTTAGAATTGAATTTCTGCTTTTGAAGTATCAAATATATGGTTGTCAACGTTCTGTTTTAAATAAATTTACTAATTAGGAGCAGATAGTTATTTTTCCAGAAATAACTGCCCCATAGCTCTTTTCACATAGCTGTAACAAACAGACAGTCAGCTTCCCCGTAGCAGCATCCTGGGGCAGTGCAACAATACAATGATCGTCATGTATTTTGTGACATTTTTATTGTTATGTTACAATATTTTGGTTTATTGTAGTAATGCAATTTTAATTAAGATCAAAGAGACCGCTACATTGGCATTATGGGAAAAAAAAGACCGATATTTGCATCAAGGAAATTGAACAAGGAAATAAACCAACTACCTTTTTCAATAAGGAAGGGTGGCAACATATTACAAAGAAGTTCAAGGAAATTACAGACAGAGAGTATGACGAGATGCAATAAAATGTGCATCAATCGCCGGATTCAAATACTGAAGTTTTTATTTCCATGCTTTCAGGAAAGATGAACTCCAGAAATTCAGGGACGTTCTAAAGATTGCTTTGTTGTTGCAGACTAGAGATTTTCTATTTGAGTTCACGTCAGACCCACAGTTACGGTCGACACTTTTAGAGATTCTCCCGGAAACTCTCAAAGCAGCGTGACTTCTTTCGATGGGCTAACAGTTAGGGTGATTTCACTGTCGAAAGTGATCGAGAATTGATAGCATCATTGGAGAATAGTTTAGGACGAGACATACATCTTCTTCATGTTAAAAATAATATCATCATTATTTTACTTGCAATGTTATTAGTTTTTTTAATTTTTATAGCACTTTTGGTACTCTATGCTAAGTGAGTGGTGTATCTGAACTTTTGTTATGTTTAGAATTGAATTTCTGCTTTTGAAGTATCAAATATGTGGTTGTCAACGTTCTGTTTTAAATAAATTTACTAATTAGGAGCAGATAGTTATTTTTCCAGAAACAACTGCCCCACAGCTCTTTTCACATAGCTGCAACAAACAGACAGCCAGCTTCCCCGTAGCAGCATCCTGGGGCAGCGCAACTGTAGTTGCCTCAAACCGATCCTAAATGAACAACCATGTTGCTTCATCAAAAATGATTTGATAAAACTTGAATTCTAGTCTTTAATTTTTTATTATTACTTTTTTTATTTTGTCTTATGATTCGTACATTTGAAAATAATTTGAAAATGAACTATCTTAAATATTAGGCCTGAAACTTTTGCTTCGAAGTTTCCAATTGGTTGTATATTTGTAGGTAAATGGTCGAGTAATGTTCCCAAAAAGATTTGCATGATTGGCACACATGCTTTTGAAAAGATAGTTATGTTTGTAGAATAGCATTTGACCCCCCAAAAAAAAAATAAAAAAAAAAAAAGAAACTCCCGGAGCATATGCGTAGGAGTTTTAGAATCTTTTTGTTTTTTTAATTTAAGCATGCTTTATTTAGTTCTTAGTATCTAGACTTCTATGGATGAGAGCCCTCTAAAGTTAATTATCCTTAATAAATGAGAGAATTTTCTCGATTAAGCATTCATGAAGATTTGTCTATATTTTTAGGTTACGGAAAATAGCTTGATGAAAGAGTGGTTAAATCTCTTTATGGCCCGTAGTTCCATTTGTTAGAAGAGAGAGTGCACCTCCAACTAGGAATAAATACGATAAATCATAAAGTGACTCCAAGAGAGATTAAGCACCATAAAGGAGAATGCCAAAATTTACGTGCTTCCGCTGAAGTCTATGTCCAAGGTCATGCAGGGTCAAATATTCCATTACATTTAAAAAAAGTTTCATAAAGGATCATAATTCATATAAAATTGAAGATATGGATAAGGACATCGATTTGTTTGGTTGAGGAAAAATGCAATCACTTATTGTGATGATTAATGTTAGATAGGGAGAAGGAGATGTTATTGTTGTTATAGTTACTCTATTCCCCTCTTGATTATAGGAGCTTAAATGAGAGATATTTCTTGTTATGAAGAAAGGCTTCCTCTCCTGTTAGAACCAAAAATAGCAACACTATTTCTTTGTTCAAGTTGCCAAAGAAATTTTGTTGCAAGCACTCAAGAAAGCTTATTTCTTTCTTGTATGTCACCCCCTTTTCTCTCTCTTTCTTATCTTTTATTGCTTCTTGTTGTAGAATGTTGGAAATATCAGCATAGATTTCACACATTCTCTTGTTTTTCTAGTACTTGACGTTGCATGCTTGGTACCATTCTTACTTATATGAGCTACTTCCTAGTTGTTGAATTTATCACATTAGCAGGTGATATTGCATATAGCAACATATAGAATCCACTAATTCTATTTGCCTTTTAAGACAATCAATACACTTTTATTGACCTTAAGGATGTTAGCATCACTGAAATCAATATCCTATAACACTAATAAGAGCAATTATGGATATTAAATTCTTTAAATTTGGTACACATTAACTCTAAGAAACGATATTGTTACATTCCATGTGCCTTAATTTTTATAGTGCTATGACCTCCAATTTTAAATGAACTTTGTTTCTTATGTAAATATGACCACCAGAGCTTGCATGGTATGTGCAAAATATGTCGAAATTATAACATATGTGATTAGTACAACTTCAGTCTGGAATCTGCTACTCTTTAGACCTACTATCTCTAGTCACCAAAAGAGCATCACCAAGTTTATAACTGATAAGTTAGCAACAATATTTGCATGATTGATTTACCTTTTTTGGTTGTCAATGCAAAATAACCCCTTTTTATTTATTTTTAATTTTTTTTTGCAATAAATCCAAATAATCTTTTCGAATATTTTTTGTGTTTTACTTTTTTCTTGATTGAAAGAGAACCCTTGCTCTGAACATCTTGGAAAATCTTGAGTTGGTAACCACTATCGTTGAAAATCATGACAAAGTCATGTCCAAGAGAATTAATGAAAATTTGACTTTATAATCAACACTATTGTCCATATATCTCAATAAAAAACAAGAGTCAATAGAGAAGACCTTGTTTGGTTACTGCACAATAAGGGCCCGAATGACTCTCTTGTCCATCCGCTGTTTTAACTGGCTCTTTTGCTTTTAATAGTATTTTTCTTTGGGTAAAATTTTTCAGCCCTTTTCAGCTTCTGATTGTAAGCACTATAATTTCTATACATCTTCTTCTTGGTTTCATGAAATAAACTTAAGGGATTTATACTTGGTACATTTAAAATTCGCGAACTCAATTTTTTTTTGCCTTTTTTTACTTGCCTTTATCTGTGAATATGAATGCACCAATTGATTTTTTACTGTTGTTGCTGTTCTGTACTATAAATTGTTTAAATACATTTTATACTAAAGTTAACCATTTAATAGTGGGTATGCTGACCGTATTCATGAGCTAATGGTTGTATCAAGAGAGCTTGCTACTGTGAGGGATTCTTCATCAATTCCAAAAAGTTCAAGCACAAATTGTTTTAGTGAAGCAGGTTATATTGAATTTTCGGGTGTCAAGGTAATTCCATAATTCAGATTATTGATGAATTTTAAATTTAGTATTTATTTTCATATTCTTCTTATGTTCTGATGTTCAATCGAAATATTTCTAGGTAGTAACTCCTTCTGGAAATGTGTTGGTGGATGACCTCACACTTAGGGTCGATTCAGGATCTAATCTTTTGATCACTGGCAAGTTTATTTTCCTTTATCCAATTTGTGCTGCATTTTGAGACATTTCGTTACTACTTTATTTATTTGGCAATGTGATTGTAATTATTTATTTTTGTATCCTGCTTGGGGCCTACGATTTTGTTTTTCTTTTAGACAAATTTGGTTCTTGCATGTCTGCGGTGCTTTATTATGAAATCTTACAGTACATTTGTAGCAAGGCTTCACTTTCGTGGTGGGTATGATTTAGGATTCTGTGTTAATGAATTCTCTGTCATTAGTCCAAAGTTAAAAGAGAATGCAAAGAAAAATAATGTCTGATCTCGTAGTATGATTACTGCTCATATGTAGCTATTACACAAGACTAAAGCTCTCATCATTTATTACGATAGTGAATTGTAGCATTGTTCTGACTAATAGTTCATGCATATTCATTAGATTTCTAAAGATCTCATCATTTATTCATGTTTTTTCCCAATATATTACACTTGTTTTCTTTTACTCTAATGCTGACTTAATTTTTGCATTTATGGTTTTGCATGCCAAGCACACTTAGGGTCTGTTTGGGGCAGCTGCAGCTT